TCCTTCAAAAATCCTCCTGAAAATCAAAAAAAATTCCCAAAAAAATCCCACAAAAATCCCAAAAAATCCCCTGAAAATCCCCCAAAAATCCCCTGAAAATCCCAAAAAAATCCCACAAAAATCCTTCAAAAATCCCCATAAAAATTAAGAAAAAAATCCCCAAAAATCCCCAAAAATTCCCAAATTTCCTCCGACCCTTTCCTGTTCCTCAGGTGCCTCCAGGACAACGACTGGGATTACGGCCAGGCCGGCCAGGTTTTCACCCAGCTCAAGGTTTGCTTTTCCCACTTTTCCCCTTTTTTCCAGGTTTTTCCCATTTTTCTCCCCATTTCCCCCATTTTTTATCCACGATTTTCCCCAATTTCCCCCTTTTTTCCCAGTTTTTTCCATTTTTTTCCTATTTTTTCCCAGTTTTTTCCATTTTTTTTCCTATTTTTTCCCATTTTCCCCCCATTTTTTCCCTGTTTTCCCCATTATTTCCATTTTTCCCTATTTTTCCTGTTTCCCACCTCTTTTTTTCCAATTCTTTCCCAAATTTTTCCCAATTCTTTCCCAATTCTTTCCCAGTTTTTCCCCAATTTTTCCCAATTCTTTGCCAATTTTTCCCCAATTTTTCCCAATTCTTTCCCAATTCTTTCCCAATTGTTTCCCAATTTTTTCCCAATTCTTTCCCAAATTTTTTCCCAAATTTTTTCCCAATTCTTTCCCAATTTTTCCCCAATTTTTCCCAATTCTTTCCCAATTCTTTCCCAATTTTTTCCCAAATTTTATCCCGATTTTCCCCAATTTCCCCTCCCCCATTCCCTGACCCCCCGCTCTCATTCCAGCTGGAAGGGAAGATTCCAGATGTCGCGTTTCTCAAGTGAACGTTGGAGATCCCCGCCCCCTCCCCGGGCCCCTCCCGTGTTCCGTTCCCGCCGCAGCCCCGAGTTTTGTAAATAAATCGATCGATTATTGATTATTGATCGCTCCCACCAACGCTTCGGGACGCGGCGCCTTTAAGGGGGGGGGCGCTGAGGGCACGGCGGGAACGCGCCAGCAACAAAGATGGCGGCGGAGGCGACGCGGCAGCAGGAGCTGATTGGCTGAGGCGGATCTGGCGCCGCAGCTGATTGGCCGAGCCGCTACGTGAAAGCCGATTGGCTGCGGCTCCTCTTTGGATTGGCTGACGCGCTGCGTGACCCGGAAGTACCGGAGGCGCTGCCGGTGATGGCGGCGCGGGCGGCGCTGGAGGCCGCGGCCGTGTCGCGGGACGTGGTTTTGTTCCAGCACGACCGCAGCCGCTTCTTCCGCCTCGTGGGGGTCTTCTGCGCGGGGCAGGGGCTCTTCTGGGCCTACCTGGCTCACTTCGCCTTCACGTCGCTGCGCCCCGCTCCCGGACCCGGTCCCGACGATCCGCTGCGACCCCGCGACAACAAATGGCGCTACGGGTTCACGGCGTCCTGCCTCACCGTCGGTAGCGGGGGCAGGGCTCGGGGGGAGGCTCCGGTGCTGAGCTCGGTGTCCCCGCCGGGCTCGGCTCCGGTGCTGAGCTCGGTGTCCCCGCAGGCTCGCTGGTGCTGGCGGCGGGCTGGCTGCTGCCGCTGCGCTCGGTGCACCGGGTGACGCTGCTGCGGGGCGGCTCCGCCGTCACCATCGGGACCCACGGGCCGCTCGGGCTGGGCCGGCGCTCGTTCACCGTGCCGCTCCGGGACGTGTCCGGCCGCGCTCACCGGGCAGAGGTGGCCGCCGCCATCCCCATCAAGGTGCGGGGACGCCCCTTCTTCTTCCTGCTGGACAAGGCCGGGCAGCTCAGCGACCCCCGGCTCTTCGATGTCACCGTGGGCGCCTTCCGAAAGTTCTAGAGCGCTGCGGGCCCGGGGGACACGCGGGGGACCCCGGCCCGCTCCCTCCGGGGGGATTTGGGGGTGTCTCCGGTTTGTCTCCCCTCAATAAACGCTGAGGAACCCGCGGGGCTCCGGAGCGCTGCGATTGCACCTCAGGGACCCCTCCCCAAAGGGGGGTTTGGGGCAGGAATTTGGGGTCCCGAGGTTCCCCCCCCGCCCCCCGGGGGGAGTTTTGGGGGTCTCGGAGCTGTTTCGGGAGTGGGGGAGGGGCGGTTCGGGGGTCCCCGCTTCTCCCCCCCCTCCCCCCCCCCCCCCCCCCCCCCCCCCCGGCTCTGAAGGGGGGGACGAGACAATCGCGAGGGGCGGGGTTATGCTAATTAGTGTAACCTAAAGGGGCGGAGCTAATGCAAATAAAGAAGCGCAGTCAACCAATCACGTTGCGAGGCGGGAAAAAAAGCGGCGGGTGGTTTTCTATCTAAAGCCTAGCTTCTTATTTGCATAAGGGGGCGGGGTTATGCAGATTTACCGTGCTGGGGTGTGCGAAAGGCACGCTGGGAGAATTTTTCGGGGGTTTTCGGGGTTCACGGGGGTCGCACCGGGCGGGACGCGAGGGGGAAATGCGGGAGGGGGCGCGGGGAGAGCCC